GTTCGAGAGTTGTTCTCATCAGGTGGGGAGCCTGCGTTATATAGGAAGATTCCTTATCCCAAGGCAGTCAGTTGGTTGATGTGGTCATCTGGCTTGTCTGGGAATCTTTTTGTTTCTTTTCTTTTCTAGTAGGAAGTTGCATCTGTGAGCTGCTCCAAGCAAATCATACTATGCTCTCTGTCACTCTGAGCTCTGGTTCCTCAGTTGTGAAGATCATAATACAGAATGGATCATGACCCATAGTTAACTGTAGGGAGCATAATTATTATGACAAATCTACAGGCCATTCAAAGGTTGTTACCTGTGGTAGTTCCACGAACCCTTCATGCTCCAAAGGATGAACTGGTGTTTGGGACATAAGATCAGCATTTCCATTCAGTGCCTGGGTATTTCCAGAAGGATCTTGCTGATTACTTTTAGCAACAGCGTTACCCAATGGCCTCATTCAGATAATCAGTCTTTGTAGGACAAGCATTTGTTCAGATGCCATGCTAGCCTGTCCCTTGGTGAAAGGTCTCAATGTCTTCTTTCAGTTAGAAGATACATATGTATGCAGAAATGGAGGGTATATCAGGTCTCATGGTATAGCATTCCAGAAGCTGTTTGTCTTCCCATGGGTAGCAAGGTGCCTCTGGCCAGGTGTAGTATGGGAAGAGCCGAGTGGAAATTCTTCCACTGAAGACAGAGGGATCGGCCACTGCTAGAAGATACATGTCAAAGATCTGATCAGAGATATATTCCCATATGTGCTACATGAAATTATCCTTGCAACATAGTGTACCACAACAAGCAAAACAATGAGTCATTTCATAAGGAGTGGAAAATATTATAGTTTCTGATCCACTTGGAGATAACAACATCTATCAACCTCTAGTCATGTATCTTAAACAAAACGTATCAACTTCTAACCATGTGTTTACTTTTTTTTAATCTAAGCAAACCTCCTGCATATTACCTTGTCTCCTTGTTAAAATGCATTTGCGTCCACATACGTATGCTTGCTCACGCACATGCGCGCATGTACGCACACACACACACACACAGAGTAAACTTTAGTCAGTGATTGCTTCTTTTGAATAACTGAGGCTCAACTTCATCAGCATTTCAGCCTGTCTCTTTAGCTGCTGTAAAACTGTTGTGGTCCTCACCATCAGCTGTGCTTATGGACTCCTGATATGTGGAATCATGTGTTGTTGTTTTTTAATGGCAATTTTCATCACCATGCATCTCAGATCACTATTGTTTTGGCTCTCTATGTCAACAAAATCAGAGAAATAACATTTTGGTTCGAGCCTCAGTTCAAGTGTGAATCACGCAGTGCTCTTAGGCAAACTCTCAGTTTTAATGTCAGAACAGTAGTGGGTCATCTTACAGACTGTTGTGGAAGTATTCTAGGAGAAGTATGTGAAACACTTTGAACAAAGAGGTACAGTTTATATTCTATCATTAAAAAAAGAAGAAAAGCCTTGATCCAAGTGATCAGTATTCTGTATCAGCAATAATAGAATGCTGTGATCTGTATAAATTGTGCCAACTGAAACATTAGTATGAGTGTTCCTACTTTTCACAAGTTGATCCTGCAGTTGTCTTTTTCTATAATTTATTCCTTTTCTTGCTAGTCATATGGAGAGATCCTGGAGCTGTGCAGGAGAATCATATTCCTGGCTTTCAGTGCATAGCAGATGCTGTTACTATGATAAGGGCACTTTAAAAAAATACCTAGGTACCTTATGCCAAGAACATGGAAGATTAGTATATGCTGTGGCAGGACTACCTGGCAGCTCTTCCATGTGAACACTTACATGTCCCTACTTTTCTTTCCTGCAACGGGCACAGTAGTTTTTCTCCACAGAGGGTTGTGTCTGTTGCCTTTCCTATGTTGCAGCTACAGAGGTTACCAATAGCTGCCAGGTACAAAAGGCAGAAAGAAAGCCTCTTTTTATTTTGACTGATTTCCAGGTATGCAGGTGGTTGTAGCAGGCAAGGTCTTTTTCTGTCTGACTAGAGATGAACATTTCCAGAAACACTGACGGTGAAAACAGTTTAGGTCCATATTCAAGTACGATGGATAAGATAGTCAGGCTTGAGAGGTTACACTCCATGCAATATTGATGTTAATGTTGGAACCAAATGTCATGGCATATTCTTTAAGCTCAAAATGTAACTGCATGTATAAAGGAGTCTCTCTTTTGTTAGAAAAACAGCTGAGAAATCAGACATTTTCCAGCGTGCGTCACAAATGTGATAATAACACTTGCAGTTTTAATTGTTTGATTAGCAAGGATGATCAGTGGACTGAAAACCAGGCCTTGTGAGGAAACACTGAAAGAACTGGGCACATTCAGCCATGAGAAAAGAAGACTGAGGGGAGATATGATGGCACTTTTCAAACACTTGAAAGGCTGTCATGCAGAGGAGGCACAGGATCTGTTTTCAGTCATCCCTGAGGGCAGGCCACGCATCAATTGGCTCAAATTACAGGAAGCCAGATTTAGGCTGAATTTCAGGAAAAACGTCTTTACTGTTAGAGCAGTACAACCATGGAACTGATTATCCCAGAGGTGGTGAACGCTCAAACACTTGGAGGCATTCGAGAGAATATTGGACAATGGTCTGTCAGATATACTTTGATTTGGATTCCTGCATGGAGCAGGGGGTTGAACTTGATGTCCTTATAAATCACTCTCAGCTCAATTATTCTATGGTTCTATGATTGATTTCTTATTTACCACACTGAGTGCTATGTTTTGAGAGAAAGGAGGAATACAATTTTAAAATCTGTATTTTTACAGTTGGCTCGTGTTCATTTCATTACCTGTGTTTGTCTTCTTTATTTTCCCATTGCTTCGCTTGCAGCTATCTCTGTCATTGGCTAAATTTAGGTGGTAAGTTCCTTGCATAGGCTTAGGCAGAATGGTGTGGCTGCCTTAGTTGACAGCAAATTACTAGTTAGTTAATTTGTAGTCATTGGTTTTTTTTATTTCCAGGGATTTAAAATACTGTAGTGGTTATGCAATGTTCTGCCTTGTATACCAAAATAAATTGTCTAGCTTTGAACAATTTTGCACCTTTATGGGGGTGCTGGTGTGGCAAAAAAAAAAATCCAGTCTTTCTAGGACTAATTGGGCCTTTAGCCCTCCTTTTAGTCTTAATAATATGAAATAATTTTTAAAAGAATGGAAGAGAGAGAGAGAGAGGAAAAATCTGTAGTTTTATATATGTCAGAAACATTATTGTTACATTTATAATCCATGTTTTCTCCAAGGAGTTCAAGTTGATAACCTTTTATTTTCTTCCATCCCATTTTATCCTCACAACAACCCTAAGCTAGGCTCATCCTCAGCAGGATCAGCTCCATCAAAATCAGTCTCAACAGTGGAGAGAGTTGCTTTCTACCCCATCCCACCTGCCTTATGTGCCCTCAAAGGACTTATTCTCCCCTGACACACTACTACCTTCCTCCTTGCTGTCCAAATGTCTACTCCAAAGGTCTTCCCAGTTGGTCATTTGGAGCAAATTGTGAGGTTGTATGACTGGTGCACAGGGAAAAGAAACTGCATATCCTAACATTAATACCACACACTTCTCTGAACTTGGTTTCATATATACAGTAAGAATAATTTTAGAAGTGAAAGGGATTGCTCTTTTGCAGCTTAAAGTTAAAGAGAAGCAGGAAAAAAAATTGGTTCCTAGAACAGGTAAACTTAACAAATCGTCCTCTGAGCCTCATTCCACTCAAGGGGAAACTCGTTGTGACCCCGGGGCTCAGACCTATCATTTCCCAACTGGAACTTGCAGGGGTTCACCAAAACACCAGAAGTCAAGTGCTCCGGTCAAAGCAGGCTCTTGCATCTATATAACTTGCTATATAGAGAACAAACATTGATGGATACACAGAGCATGGGAAATTTTTAAAAATAGTTGTAGGCCATTGCAGTGATAATCAATTTTTTAAAAACTATTTTGTTTTCCATTTTTAATAACATGTAAAATGTATACACCTCATGATGGCCTTGACATCCACCACAGAGTGTATGATAGAGCAGAAGCCAGCACTTGAACTACACAGTATTCCTTCTCTGCCATTTTATTGAGTGTACTCTGTAGCTATAAACTGTAGTTAAAAAGTTACAATTGGCACCATAAACGAAATCACTTTATCACTTGCTAAGTGTCAGTCATTGTGCAATTCAGTTATACCTTCATTACTGGGGAAAGGAATTAATTACAAGTAACTCATTATTTGTAGTGATTTATTTTCATGTCTTGTGTACAAACAAATATCTCTTTGCAGATGCATGTTGTCAGCACTGTGCTACTTTCCACTGTGTTTGGATGTGCATCAGTGTCCACTTTCTTGATGTATGTCTAATCAAACGTGATAGATAGATACCATCCAAACACTGATTTGTTCTTGTCGTTCCCAGTCCAATAAGCACTTCCTTGTGTTGATCTTCTCAGACAGAACAAGCTGAAGATGCGCAGGTGGAATGTTGCAAAGGAAGAAAACCTGACCCTGTTCTGCTTTGTTAATGTAATTTTGAATTTCATTTATAATTAAAGCCCAGCTTGACACTAAACCACCTCCAAAGAATAAAACAAGCAGATCACTATTTTCAATTATATCTACACATGTTATGCCTTGCAGAAGTGAAAATTAAAAATGTTTAAAAGTTGAGATGAAGGAGTAGATAGTAATTTTTATTGTAAGGCATAGCATTTCCTACATTACTTCAACCATGATTTCAAAACTTTCTTCATGAGATCATGGTTGGGATGGAATACTCTTCCTACGCACAGAAAAGGCACAAACTGAGGTAGCTGCATAAGGCAAAGTGGTCTTATGCCAGGAGTATATGCAGGTCCAGATGCTGGGAAAATGACAGGAGGGCCAAGTGTGAGGATCCGGTCTTTTGGTATCTCCAGTTCTTTCCAGAAAATTATGACTTCAGTATGTTCTGTTTCTTCAACATGTGGTTTTTCCATCACTGTTTTTACAGGTTTGCAGCCCATTTATTGGAGCAGGGACGATGTGGCCCAGTGGCTGAAGTGGGCTGAAAAAGAGTTCTCACTGAGACCCATTGAGAGCAACACTTTTGAGATGAACGGCAAAGCACTCTTGCTTCTGACCAAAGAAGATTTTCGATACAGGTCTCCACATTCAGGTAAGTTGCTGAGGTACTAACCAGAAGGACTTTGTATAGAGCACTTATACGTACTCTATTAAGATGTGACTTGAGAAAAGATCAAGCTGCCACAACTTTTCCTACTACAACGTTAATATAAGTTAGCATAAATCACATCATGTTAGTATGGACAGCATAACAGTGTTCAGGTAAAAACATGGAGGAAGATCTTGTTTGCAGTTGCTGTGGAAGAGGAGAGAGGAAGGAGAAGTGTGGATGAGGTTTCTAGAAGTTTCTCATTGGGTCTAGGTTTATTGACATCACACCAACCTGTGGTGTAGCATTGTACCTGGATCTTCTTAGCATTTACTCTTACTTGATATCATTGACACGAACATTTAGAGGATCAACACACTAGGAAGAATCAATAAAGCTCTGCCTTTTCCTTCAGGATCAATGGAAAGTCAGGTAGTCGTAAACTCTATTCAAGTGCTCTATATAAAGGTTAGCTAATCATGTGAGAAAGGGAGATTGTTAGCCCAGCACCTTCAGTCCTGATTTGTTGACTTGAAAAGTGATTAAAAAAACATGTCAGAAGAGGAGAGCTGTTCTTGCATGCACAATCCTTCCACACAGGCCAGGACTCTAGAAAATCAAGGTTCTGGTTCATGTAGAGAGCCTCCACACCACTTTTTGTATGAGGAAGGCAATGGCATAATCAGTGGAGTGAGCCCTTAAGTAGAATATTTAAATATTCAGTTGTGGGGATTTTCTGAACTGCTACTCCTGAGGAAAGGTGAGGAAGAGCCTGGCCTTTTTCAAATAGGGATGCTAAATGCTGCTAAAAACGAGAGCCCATATCATACACATTATCTGAGCTGTGTTTTTATCATTGTCATTGTGGTGGCTGTCATGCTTTGGGGAGTCATATGAGCACTTTTCAAATGCATGGCCCTGCTTGTGTGTTTAATGTACCAGGTAAGTGATGTGTGGCCCCTTGAAAGGTAGAAGCAATTTGGAATAAGTATAAAGGGGGCTGACATAACTTCAGAGGGAAATTTCTATTCCACCCTCGCTGTTGGCTTTTGACACTTTAACCACGCTGCATCTCAGTGGAGGGTCTGGGCCAGAGTTTCCCGACCTTGGGTCCTTTCTGAATGTTAACATGTATTCTCTTACAATTGAAAATAATAGATAATCTGTGTGTTACAGTATTGTTATGCCAGAGGTTGGGTGGTAGCTGCTCCTAAATGATAAGTTACTGGAGCACATTTCAGGTACATATCAGTTGTCTGATCAGGCACACAACCCAGATACAATCTCACCATCTTATCAAATCAGCCATTATTAGCCACAAGAAGTGATGCAGAGCACACACAGACACTACTAAGATTCTGGCTACTAAGTTACATTTTTTATTTTGTAGTACAGAGCATGTGTGGAAGTAAGGCTTTCTTCAAAAGAGCACTGTCTGGGGTTAGGGATTGGCAAGCCAGTCATTCTTAATAGCCCAATATTGGCCAGTCATACATTTAAGTTGCTTTAGCTTCCTGCTATGTGAAAGTGGGTGGCTTGGTCAATGAACTACAACAACTGATCAGCTGTATAATGGGCTGTGATCCCAATGGTGCTGTAGGCCCTGAGGAATACGCATCGTATTCGACTTTTAAGTTTAGTGTTTCAGAAAGAAAATACAAAGAAAATCACAAATGTATTCGCAAAGGCTTTCACGGCCAGGATCTAATGGTTATTGTGGGTTTTTCAGGCTCTTTGGCCATGTTCTGAAGGTTGTTCTTCCTAACCTTTCGTCAGTCTCTGTGGCCGGCATTTTCAGAGGACAGCACGCTGTGCTCCGGTGCACAGAGTGCTGTCCTCTGAAGATGCCGGCCACAGAGACTGGCGAAACATTAGGAAGAACAACCTTCAGAACATGGCCAAAGAGCCCGAAAAACCCACAACAACCATAAAATCACAAATACCTCTAAGATTAGAATGGTCTGCTTATTGTGCACTATCAGTGTTAAAAGTTTTCCAGTTTGTGCAGAAACAGCAAACAAACACACTGAGATCCACAAACCCAGAGGAGTCTGGGATAAATGCATCCTCTATTTGTGCTATTTTTTTAGCTTTCCCTTTTTCTTGCCTCCTCACTCTTGTCTGCTTTGTTTTCTGCCCTCCTTTGCTCCGTGTTCTAAAGCAGTCCTCTTCCAAATTAATGAAGGCTCCTTCTCTTTCCATTCAAGAAGCCCGCTGCCTGTAAGATGGAAGGACAGCAAAAGCCAAGCAAGGAATGAAAAGTGCAGGCTTACGGAAAGGGGATTAAAACTGAAGAGTAGGAATACCAATAGCCAATGTAAAACTCAAAATGATTAAAACTTGAAAGGGTCAACTTCTAGCCATTTCCCTTATAAAAGCTCAACAGAGAAACAGACAAGCATAATTATTGTGTCAAATATATATATATATAAAATGTTTAAATGTCAAGTAAATAAGCAAAGGTTTATTCCAGCCTCCATGCTTTTGTCAGTGCTAAATATGGGAGGTACCAGAGACATAGTTTGTCAAGGGCACCTGTTTGTCAAGGGAGGATCCCTTCGAGTAGCCCCTACTCTTTATTTATTTAAAATTTCTGTATGCCGCCTTTCACCCCAGAGGGGACCCAAGGCAGCTAACACAGGTAAAACAACAGGTTTAAAAAGACTATATGAGTAGGATATCAAAAAATCTAAACCATCTTCAAGAACACTTTCTCATAGTCATTTAAAGTCTTATCAGATCATTTCATCTCATTACATGCATCTTAAGCATATGATGTTGTTACAAGCTGGGTTTGTCACTTAGGCCTGCTGGTAAGATGTTGCTACCTAGGAAAAATATAACTGTGACCATAGCTCAGTTGCTTAGATCTCTTGCTGCAGAGCCAGAGGTTGGAAGTTCAATTCCCTACTGTGTCTAGATACCACTATAGCCCTTTTCAGGTATTAATTCTGGAAGTGTGTAGGTCAGAGACAAGTGTGCACACAATGTCCCATTCCCTTCACATATCCAGTGTCCAGGTTCACAGAGGACATTCACCTAAATGCACTTACAGCATTTCTGTTATTGGAAACCCTGTCTTATCACAGCTGCTGATCACAGAAATGCTGTAAGCACATTTGCAAGCATACCTTCAAGACCTCCATAGGAAAACTCAATGACCTGCCTTACCTTCTTGTGGAGGGGAAGCATAAAGGACAGGGTTTACCTTCATCTCCATATCACCACCACAGCCCTGTACATTTTCAGGTGTCAAGCTTGAATCGGGTTTCCATGTTTTCCACATCCTAATCCAGTAACTCCCAACCACTTGTATGTTGCAGAACATTTGTATATTTAAAATATTTATATTCTGCCTAATTCAGAATATAAATATAAACATATGCTACATTCAGTATGCCAGCAAGTTTGGAAAACTCAGCAGTGCCCAGAGGATTGGAAAAGATCAGTCTAAATCCCAGTCCAAAAGAAGGACAGTGCCAAAAAACGTTCCAACTCCCGTACAATGGCACTCATTTCACACGTTAGCAAGGTTATGCTCGAAATCCTCCAAGGTAGGCTTCAGCAGTATGTTGACCGAGAACTCCCAGAAGTACAAGCTGGATTTCGAAGGGGCAGAGGAACTCGAGACCAAATGGCTAACATGCACTTGATTATGGAGAAAGCCAGAGAGTTCCAGAAAAACATCAAAATAAAACTGAGCACCAAGGGACAGATGGCAGAACCAACAAATAAAAACACATGCAAGAGAAACAGGTTAAGGATTAGCCAAGCAGTGACAGATGTTTTTGCCTGATGGCTGAAAACAAATGTGGGAGGAAGCTAGTTTGATCTTTCTGAGCATGGAAGTTTCACAGCTTTGCCACCACGACAGGGGAGATTCTCTCCAGAGTCTTAACGAACGAAAACAGCGATGGAACAGCAGGATACAAAGCAGGTAGATCACAGCCTAGAGTGGTCTTTTAGACCAGATGGGCAGGGTATAAATAAAGAAATGCGGCATACAAATAAATAAATAATAAATAAATAAATAAATAAATAAAACCATTCTTGTTCTTGGATATGAGTTTGTGTTAAATAAGCTACAGATCCAGCGAATCCCTACCTAGAGATAAGACTGCCTGTTGTATCTCCAAACGCTTTACCTTTCTGCTTTTGCCTCTTTCCCAGTCTGATTCTGCTGGAAGCCAGTAATTCTGTCACTGTGGCAGAAGCAGAACATTGGGCCCAGCAACATTGGCCCTGCCTCTCAGCTGCCAAGCTTCCCATTTTGGGAAATGGGGTTTGAAGGCGTGTTCTTCTTGCACACATCAATACAAGTACTGTGCCTCTTTGGATCTCCCATCACAGGACAGGGAGGTTAGAAGCTGAGGTGGCAAGGCTGGGTATGGATGGGGGGTGAGACCACTGTGTGTAGATCAATCCCTTCAATGCAAGGGTGGATCGCTCCCAGCAGTCTGGGGGTTGTACATGCCCATCCTGGACCTTGGAGGTCTGCGCCCACACTTGCGGCCCACTCTCCCAAATTTATCCTTTAATATATTTTTTAACTGGAAAAGCTCCCTCACACCCTCCGCTGGCTGATTAAAAAAAGGTTTACAAATAGCATACATGGGTGCAGTGGGTACTGTATGTTGAGAGAGGCAAAACATGGCAAACCGGCCCCTATTTAGGGGGTCTGAAGGCTTCATTCAGGATCTTGAGGGCCATATGAGATTAACTGTATAAAATCAGGACAATTACAGTGTGTAAATACTGGATGTTACATGTGAATAATTATACTAGTGTACAAATCAACAATTCTGCATACATATATTCAGAGACTATACATTAATTGAATGTCACATGTAAGTGACTTTTTTTTCTTATTCTGTTCTTTATTTGCTCCTTTTTCTGTATATAGAAACATTCCATGATAGGCGCTCTGCTCTGTAGTCTGAAGGGCTGTGACTCAAACAATGGGGAGTTTTTAACTTTCCAGCATTGTTTACCTTTGTATTTGCTTGAGCTGGCTATGTCTCTTTCAGGTGATGTGTTATATGAGCTTCTTCAGCATATCTTGAAGCAGAGGAATTCGCATGTGCTGTTTTCACCCTTCTTCCACCCTGGGAACTCCATCCATGCTCAGCCTGATGTCATGTTACATCAAAACCACGATGAAGGTAATGACAAACGTGTCTTTGTTTATAAGAGGCACTGCTGCACAGGGACTTGGTCTGAAGTCATGAAGTAAAAAAATGATGATTGAAAAGGAAGGGCCTAATTCTCTACATTACGATTACTGGTCTCTGCTCTTCTAAAACAAAATACAAATTGTTCTGTGCAGTTAGAAATGGATAACTAAGTCCAAAGAAGGCTGGGGTTTGAACTACAGTGGCTGAATTGGAATCCTCTTGTTTTACTTCTGTTTACAACCAGATCTAGAGTCTATCAACACTTTATCAATATATTTAGGCTGGATAGCTCAGGGGATGTCTGACTGCAGAGCCAGAGATTGGGAGGATGATTCCCCGCTGTGCCCCTGGAAAAAGAACCAGCCAGTGTGACCTTGGGGAAGGGAATGGGAAAACCATTCCTGAGTATTCTCTACCTGGAAAAATGGGAAAACCACTCCTGAGTATTCTCTACCCGGAAACCCCTGAAAAGTGTCACCATAACTTAAAATTGATTTCATGGCACACCGTTATTATTAATGTTTCATTTATCACACGAGAAATTGACTGCCGGAAAACAGGTACATCAGGATAAACATTTTAGTTTAGTTCTCTTGTTGCTGTAAGCATCGCTATGTTATGGGGCAATAAACATGGTTGTGTTCAAAGTGAATGGATCTCTTCTTATGGGAGTGTATGTGCTTATGCCCCGAATGAAGACAAAATACCATTTTCATAATGTAGCTATGACTCAGCGGCTCTGCAAGACATCTTTCAATAGCCATCCAGATTGAAAAAAAATATAACGGGAGTAAGGCCTACTCATTTCAAATCCCTTGTGTGGCTTACAAGTTACTGTGCGAAAGAGTGCTTTTAAATTGTAATCCTGGAATCTTTAGAAAACTTTTCAGAATTTCTGAATTAGAAGAGCAGTGGTACGCAACTTGCCCTATGAAGAGGAAATTTTCCCTAGTACTGATTATCTGTCTCTACAGAGTGAAGCTGTAGGTGCCTTTCCAGTTTGACCCAACAAGCCTGGCTAACATGCCTTGAAATGGTTACTGCCTCTCTGTGGGCCTTTTTGTGCTTTCAATCAAAAATTTGTACACACATTGGGGTTCTGTGGCATGGAGAATTTTTCTGAACATTTCCCTGGGATTTGCTGGTAGAAAAAAAATGTAATGTAGCATAAAGGACTATGATTAGAGGTGGGCACGAAGCACCAGTGCAGTGTTTCCTGATGAACAGGTGTTCTGTGGTTTGGTGCCCCACCCCTTCTGGTGGGTGCCCACTCTGAGGCAGTACCCAGAGGAGGTGGGGCAGGGAAACCAGGGTGTTGCTTCCAAGTGGGCACCCTCTGGATGGGATGGGGTGCTGCACCGTAGAACACCTACCTGTTCAGCCATCAGCTGAACTGGCACGAACTGCCAAATGGAGGTTCATGCCTGTCTCTAAACATGATTCAGGCGCATAACATACGTTATATGTCAGAGATCCCAGATTCAAACACTGTCCTGCCCCATAAAAGGATCTGAGATGGGAGGTGAGATTTGCCTGGCTGACAGGCTCGGGAAGCTCTGCCAGTCGAAGATGAGGACAAGTAGTAGCTGCAGTAGCCTATGAAGAGAAGGAAAGAGCACTTGAACATGGGACTTCTGAAGGCTCATTCAGGTCACAAGCAGACACTACGGTTCTCTCATTCAAATGTAACAAGACTTTGCTGTACAAAACTCTATTTTAAGTGGTGCCCCCTTGATTCTTTGTGTTCCACAAAGGCTTAACACTCTGGTGATTCCGCTGGTCAGGATATTTCTGTTTTGTTCAATGCATAGATGATCAACTTCATTACAAACTTTTGTGGGCTGCAACCCACTTCAGCATCCATCGGTAAAAGTTAATGTCACATAAAACATGTTAGTCTTTAGATTTCCCAAGGCTCTCTGTAGTTTTTGCAGCAGAGTACCCTGTTACTCCCCAATTTGACCCTGTTCTCCCTGAAGAACTGCAGAGCTGTGATTCCCTGAGGCCTAAAATGTCCTTAAACATGGAGACATAGAGAAGGAAATAACAAACAGCCTCCAATGAACACAGAAGGAAGTCATATTCCAGGAAGCAAATGCGCCAATTGAAGATTTCCTTTTACACCATTAAGTCAATTAAGGCGCGGAACTGCAATTTTAAACAACGAGAAAAGCTGTAAACAATGCTTAATTACTAAATGTAATCAGAAAAATCAAGTGCTATATTGCTGATGTGCTGGGAAAGGGTCTTGGAAGCTGCACGTGGTGATTTTCAGTGGCACATTGTGTTGCCAATTTGTGTGGATTCCTGAAAAAAAATCAGTATTTCTGAAATGCCTAGAAGGGACTGCATGCGGCCTACAGGCAGCATGTTGCCCATCCCAGGTCTATTGCACCCCTCATTTTATCCTCAGCAGTCCCTGTGAGGTTGGTTAGGCTGAGAGAGAATGACTGGACCAAGTTCAGGAAGCTATTATCTGAGGGAAAGTTTGAAGAGAAGTTCAACAACTGACCCATCTGTTCCATCTACCCCACCTGTATGGTATCCAGTTTGCCTTCTCCATAGTCTATAACAATGGTCCCCAACCTTGGGCCTTCAGATGTTCTTGGACTACAACTCCCAGAAGCTTTCACCACCACCTCTGCTGGCCAGGATTTCTGGGAGTTGAAGTCCAAGAACATCTGGAGGCCCAAGTTTGGGGACCACTGGTCTATAAGAAGGAAAGTTGGTTTCTATGCTAATGTATTGCCTATTTCCTTTTAATATTTATTTATCTATTGTATTTGTCTCATATATAGGCCACCTGATGGGGAAGCCCTTGGCAGCTCATAGTTTTAAAACAAGTAAAATTAAAAACATAATAAATTACATATTAAAAACTGATTAAACTGTAATAATAATTAAGTATAAATTAAATGATTAAAAACATTTAAAAATTTAAAAACAAATTTGGTTTAAAAAAAACAGTATCTATGGACCCAGTTACAGTTATTAAAAGCCTGCCTGAAGAGGTGGGTCTTCCACCGTCGGCAGAAGAATAAAAGGGAGGGGGACCAACCTGACCTAACCTGAGCAACAGCAGATTAACTTGTCAAGCAACTTTCCAAGGCTCCAGTTTATTCTACAGCATTGAAGATGCCATGCCGCCTCTGCTTCCTTGTAAATTCAGTAGAGTTTGCATGACCTTTTCAACCCCACAGTCATTTTAGACCCTGCCCCAATGGCTATAATTTTAACCTGGTCAGTTGTATTCTTGAGGATTTTGATGAATACTTTTGCTCTTTGATCCTTTTACCTCAGAGCTGCTGCCACTCATTACAACTGAGTTTTTAGTTGTGCAATTTTAAAGGCCTCTTTTGATAGAAATTAAAAGCTGAGGAGGAGCATTTTGTTTTAATTATGGATTACTTCCAGCCACAGACTCTGGGCAAGGAGAGGAGTTCTTTCTGCCAAGTGTTCACAGGCAGGTAATGAGCACTTCTTGTGTACTTTGACTCACTCGCACAGCCTCTTTCCTGTCATCCGGTGCCTGGCGAAGGAACTCACACAGCTAAATATAGCACCACGCTGCCTCTTGGGTTCTTCATCTTGTTGTTGTTGTTGTCTAATTCTTCACTGGGTTCTGCAATGTGCCTCTGCTCCAGCTGGCTTGCCATGAATGGTCAGATGAGAAAATAGCTGGTAGCAGTCAGTCTTTAGATGAGCATTACAAATTAGTGTTGAATGTAATTTCCGTTTTGTTCTGCTTTGCAGAGTGGTCACTACAAAATGGAGGGCTCGCACACAGTCGTGTAGCATAAAAGAACTGTAGTGGGCCACGTGAAACGAATTACTGAAATAATTCAAGGGTCTTGTGAAGAGCTTGTTCAAGTTCTGTAGCACTGAGTGGTATTTTCAATGTTTGGCCTGTGAACAGAGGGCAATGAATGGCAGCCCAGAGCCCACAACTGGTTAATTGAGGGTAATTCTTCACAAGAAGACAACAAATGTTTTCAGTGTTGTAGAAGCACCTGCAGGTACAATTACAAAGAGCTGTTCCCTGTATCTGAATGGTCATGTGATTCAATTTCCCCTCTTTAGTAATGAATAGATATACAGTATCCTGTTTCATACATGAAAAGATATTGCAGTGGAATTTATGCACTGAACATAGATATATTTCCTGTTTAGTGTTATGTCTCTTCGTTGGACTGAGTGCAACATGCTTTAAGCTTTTATATAATGAGTGACTGAGTCTATAGGTGGGAAGTCTTTTCTTTTTCATGACTCTGGATGGCTTTAACTTTGTTATAGAATCTGTTGGTTGGACTGAGTGCAACGTGCATGAAGTGTGTTACATGGCTTTAAGCTTTTATGTAATGAGTGACTGAGTCTAAAGGTGGGAATTCTTTTCTTTTTCGTGACTCTAGATGGCTTTAACTTTGTTATAGAATCTGTTCCATTCATTGGAGTATCGCCTGATGTGGCAGAATATACACCCCAGGCACTGTATGGAGAATGGAGTACCTAAGGAAGAACCTATTAATGAATCATAGGTGAAACTGTAGTTGTACGCTATTCCTGGTAACCACGTACAGGTTGCCTCCTCCTAGTCCTGTTGAAAGGAAATTGGCTGAGGATGTTTCAAGCACCACTGACATCATTGTGGTTGCTTTTAAGTTCTACTTATGGTAACTCATTCAAATTGTCGCATATAGATTATCTTTACTTTTCTTACCATGAAAAAGAGCCACTACAACTCAGTCTGGCAGTACACATTGTGACAAGAGAAATAAATGGCAACATTTGTTATGAGGAGAGTCCTTGTAAGAACAGTGATCACTGGCCTGTGGTTGTGTTCATAAGGCTTTGCTTTTCTGCAGCTGAAAGTGCCACCTTGCCATCTTTGGAAGACACTCTTTGTGTTATACTTTCTGGAGAGAATTAACAAAGGCCCTCCTATGCAACAGGAGCATGAGCTGACACTTTTATTGTAGCCTATCAACATGCTTTGCACACTGCTTCTATGCACCAGGTAGATATTGTTATGCAGTCAATGTAGATGTAATTTATAGTTGATGCTACAGGTAGGGTTGCTTGCTAGGTCTGACAGTACCAACCTAAGTGTTTCTCAGGGAGTTTTTGTGCTTCCCCATGGCTCCAGATGTTGGGCAGCTAATTGCAGGACAAGTGGCAGTGAAGGAAGAAGACAGTATGTCATAGATAATCTAGACTGGCATGTCCACTCATTTGCAACTATTGCCAGGACTTGCTCGCTCCACACAAAAAGGCCTATGTACATCCTGTATGTACAGAACATTGGCATGCATAGATAAACAAGAAGGGGAGCAAGGGAGAGCTAAAGGATACGTGCAGTTGGACCCATCATGCAGATTGGAGCTATGCAGGAAGTGGATTCCCTTGTTCTTGGTTCTGCAGCCTGCTTTCTCGGAAGCAGTTGTGCCTTCTCTAGTCCTTTCCTGACCCACCCCTGGCATATCTCAAGGGCCTGCCCCCAGACCTCAGGTTTCAGCCTTAAAACATGAGGCAACTGGATCCTGCTCACTCAGGACACAACTCCCATGAGTGAGAGGTATCATGTGAGCATGAAGTATGTGTGGTTGTACATGAATATTCTTTTGAAATTCTCCATCCTATTTATGGGGAAATAAACTTTGGAGAAAATTTCACTTACTTTCTCCAGGAGAAGAGGAAATTCTTTGAGGGTTTCTGAGAGGCGGGGAACCAACAGCTTTATTCTTTATTCCCCAGAGAATTGTTTGTTTGTTTTTTGTTTTGATTATTGCATTGTCGCTGCAAGTGGCAACAAACTGTGCTGACAGCCCACCACTCTTCTGCTTCCTCTTCTTAGTGTTATTCTAAGATGTAGTGGCTGTGGCCATAACGGTGATGGTGGTGGTGGCAGCGGCAGTGGCAAGGAGGCAGCTGGAGGACTTCTGGAAATAATTCTGCAAAGTGACTTGATATTCTTGGGGAGCAGGAAAAGGGAAATATCAGAATGCATTCTGAGGCATTTTGGTTCAGCACTTCTCAGTCCTCAAGCTTCAACATATTTTTTTATGATCTTCACAAAGGCAACATTTTTAAAGGGCCATTGTGGATATATTTTGTCCAGTACGAATGCTTCTAACAGAGCTGCTGCTGCTTAACCCCCCATAGCACCAATGAGGGAAGGCAGTGTTTCTCCAATGTTAGGAAAACATGATTCTGTAGTGCTGTGCCATAATTCACTGGTTCTTAACCTTGGGTTACTCAGATGTTTTTGGACTGCAACTCCCAGAAGCCTTCACCACCAGCTGTCCTGACTGGGGTTTCTGGGAGTTGCAGTTCAAAAGCATCCGAGTAACAAAGGTTAAGAACCACTGCCATAATTTGTCCTCTAATTTCCCCCAAAACTGGAGGAAACTCTCAGGCTCTCGAGCTTAATTCTAGTGTTAGGAGCTAGGGAAGACGCTGGCTGCCACGGAGGTAAAAATAAGACATGCTTGTATACCTTCTCATCTACCTCACAAGCAAGGTAAGCAGAAGAATGCTGACTCTCAACCACCTCAACTTCTGCTTTGAAATTCTTTTCAAAGATTTTTTTTTTCTTTTATCAAAATGATTAAGAAAGGGCAAGATTCCACATCAGTGCTAATATATGTGAGTGGACCTTAGGCTTGTTTTCTCACTGAATTTTCAAAACTGTATCTAGGCTGTATTGATCATAGATTTGGATGTCCCTAAGAGATCTAAGCTATGATTCTTCCCTTTGCTATCTTGCCTCCCTTTGCCTTTTTGCCTTTTCCTTTCCTTTCCTTTCTTTTTTTGGTCTCTTACTCCACAGAGAAATCCTTAATTTGCATCATGTGTCTTCTTGGTTTCCACATACAAATCCCAGGAAATATAGCTTTTCACATAGAGGCAAGCATAGAACCAAGATACAGGTTTACTATCACCTGTGAGAATTAAAACTTTAATCCCAGCTGTTCTTTGCCTCATGGAGGAACAAATGCCGTGCAAATTACATTCTAAACTGCTTAGTTTTAAGGCTAAGCAACAGAAGCCTGGCCGTTCTTCTTTTTAAAAAACAAAAACAAAAACAAAAAACACCAACTTCTCTGTTTAAAGGAATTAAGTGACTAATGTAGTGCCAGTCATGGGTCACACTTGAAGGTTTCTTTCCCCCACCTCATGTTCTTCAGTCACCGCAGACAAGGCCTGATTTGGCATTGACATTTCACTACCTTGTGCCCATTTTGTTACTACTGGCCTAAATAGCTCAACAAAGACAGACCTTTTTTACTTGAGACTATAAGCATGTGAATCATAAAATCCACATAAATGCTGCTTCTCTTCACAGTCAACAAGGAAACTGGTAGTTGCTGGCAAAAATGTCTTTGGTGGTGAGCAGCCTGATACATGGTCATGGAGTCAGCTTTTGGTCAGTGAGCTAATGCTACTGGTGAATTCCTGTTTCCCTGGCCTAGTATGTGAGCCTTCATAGTACCTTGCAGGGTTTGGTAGTATTCCTTAGTTTGCAGATACCATGGATGTTTGGAAATATACTCTGTGGCAGAAACCCATTGGAAGAATTGTGGTCACCACTGACAGAGAAGAGGGACAAACAAACCTGTCGTGACAGTGTAATATGGAATTTCAGGTGGCAGATTCTGGGGCCATGTAAAAGCTGGAAATTGTTATGGTGCTGCCAAAACTAAAACCTATTTTTATATAAAGGGGCCTGTCTTTCCTTTTGTATGTGTATAACAATTTGCACTTGTAAAATGTGTATTTGGAGCCTTGAGTGGTGCAGATGGAGCAAACCATCAGTACTGTATTTTGTCACAGCTTCAAGTGATGTGGATCCCCATTTGGTGAAATCTCATGTTGGTCCTGATGCAGTTATTTCAACAAGGCTCAGCCTTCTGGAGTGGTTTCTCAACGAACAGGAAAGGCAGGATATAAATCTCTTCGATAAATAATAAAAATTAAAATGAGATAAAAAATTACCAGTGAAGGAAATTATAATTCAGAGGTGACAGAAGTGGTTGATTCATTGCTATAATTTTTCATAGCATTTTATTAGGTATTGTTAGATATGTCATGCATAATACAAACTGTATTGTCTTAAATTCCCATTTAATTCAATGAGAAGGATTTAAGTACAATGCTTAATTGAAATCAGTGGATGCAAGTGCATCTAGCATTAAAGATGATGGTCATAAAGTTCTGTAGCCCAATGAAGATTCCTTGTCAAAATGTTGTGAGGTTTTTAACACCCTTTAGCTTTAATTTCTGGGATGGGCAAAGTAGGCATCTTAAGAGGACTGTTCAGCCTTCAGATGTTTTTCCTTGTTCCAACATGCTGGGGCCTCATACAAGCCCCCTTTTCTTCCTTTTAGTTTGAATGATAGTTCTGTATTACCTCCAGTATCGTAGACAATATGAACTTCAGTTGCTAGTGAATATTGTGTCCTGCGTGTGGGCTTCCCATAAACATCTGGTATCTTTATTAACACAGTTAGTGACAGCCAGCAATAAGGGCTTCACAGCCCTGGCAACTGTCATAGCAGGAAGTATCTCCTTGCAACATTTCAAAAAATGTATTTCAGAAAATAAATATTGGCAAAATCATTATCCTCCTTTAGCTCAAAAATGAATGTATTCATAGGAGCAAGATAAAATTGCTTCCTGAGTGAGATCTCGTGCATGGGCAACCAGTTGGCCACAAGGGCTGATGTACTTTCAAATGAATGAATAAATGAATGAAGGAATGAATAGATAAATAAATAAATAAACAGGATTTCCCCTCTTTTTTGCTTTGTTTTACAGACAACTTTGTCCAGAGACCTTCAAGACAATCAGCAGACACAGTCCATCACAACCCACCTACCATTGAACTCTTGCACCGTTCTAGATCTCCCATCAGTGCCAGCCACAGGCCTTCACCAGAGCCTGAACAACGGTCATTGAAATCCCCATTGGAAAACACTATTCGTCGCCTCTCACCAGCTGATAGACTCTCGGGGACAAGACACCACCAGGAGAATAATAGCCAGGAGTCTTATCCTCTCTCAGTGTCTCCTATTGAGAATAACCACTGCCCAACCCCATCTGAAGTGCTCCAGAAACCTTCCAGTCCTCGCCAAGAAAATACTAGAGTGATTCAGTTGATGCCCAGCCCCATCATGCACCCCTTGATATTGAACCCCAGGCACTCTGTTGATTTCAAAGCCTCAAGGTTGTCAGAAGATGGACTGCACAGAGACGTGAAGCCTATCAATCTGTCCCACCGTGAAGAATTGGCATACATAAACCACATTATGGCTTCTGTCTCACCTGAAGACCATGCAATGCCAATTGGAAGGATAGCAGGTTAGTATGACACATTTCCAGGTCACAATATTTCTTTGGAACGTGCCATACAAAGACACAAGTGGTGCTGGTGAGCATGGAATGTGTGGTATGTGTGTGTGATTTCAACTTTGCAGTGCTTGGATATACATGATTTGTTACAAGCTGGGAGCAAACCAGCATTCTTTAAGAAAATAAATAGAAGTAGAAAGTGACTTGGCCATGACCAAAAGACAATCGTGGCAGAGACAGTGGCATTGTTATGATGGTGGTGTGTCTACCTTGTGATGATGGATTGATTACACTAATGGTGGCAGAATCCATGACAGGGCACAATACAGTTGGATGTTCTCCTGCAAAAAGCCTGTTTCAATGAGGTTTGCATACTATAACTTCCTGGTAAATTGTGATGGTATGTAGACAGAATCGGTGGGCATGTATGGGCAAACCCCATATTAGGACTTGCTTTAAGCACAGAAGCCTGACCCCGCATATCTGTCCATGATTTTGGGAACTTTTTTCTCCTGTGCCACTCACAGCTCTGTGGTGCCCAGCATGATGAAGACTCATGTAAAGTCTAAAGCGAGTTTGTGATTATTATTTTTTTAGTAATCTAATAAATGTGTTACCCACCCCTGATTTCAGATAATGGCATTTGACAGTCCATACCTTCTGTGAATGTGGCGAGGTACAATAAATGCCTCTTGGATACTATGCATATTAATTTGGATTTCCTGGCTCAGGCATATTCATGCTTCTGTTGTGATTATTATGAGTTTATGTTCCATGCTTCCTCGTGAGAACCCACCTCAGCTAACGATTCACTCAAAAGCACAGGATTGCAGATTACAGATAACTAAAACAACACATCTAAAATGACACAAATCTAAATTTACAGTTATCTGGAATCTCAGATTGCATATGGTCACTAAAATAAATGAAAGTGATACAAACAAGTATCAAAAACTAGCTGAACCTTGTAAGAATAGACATTATTTAAACTGGCACCTGAAACAGAAACACATGGAGACAACTAACAGAAAAAAAAGTTTAGTACTATATCAGCCTGAGCAGTTTATGGTTTTGTCAATCTAGGTAGCCATTAACACTTTTCACCACAAGGACCACCTGGACTTTCTGTGATAGCTAAATGATGTACCTTTTCTTACTTTTCAACTGTATTCTTTTATATTATAAATGAAGGGGGAAATTTGTATCTTCTTGCAGCATGAAGTGACAAAAATTGCATTAAGATGTGGGAATGCTTATTTATTTATTTATTTAAAATATTTTCACCTGGGCATTCAGTGATAGCTAAACGATGTACCTTTTCTTACTTTTGAACTTTATTCTTTTATATTATAAATGAAGGGGAAAATTTTTATCTTCTTGCAGCATGAAGCTGCAGTTTTCTAAATACACAAACCATAGAGCAACATGACAAAAAAATTGCATTAAGATGTCGGGGTGCTTATTTATTTAAAATATTTTAACCCACCTTTCTCCTTAAAAAGGACCCAAGACAGCTTACAACAATTAACAGAGAGTATTTAAATTAATAGCAATGTGTGTAGAATACTAAAGGGATCATTGAATACAATACCAAAAAAAAAAAAAATAAGCAACACCAAAACACACTCAGTGCCATAAGGTACAGCAGTCCATTTAAAAAAAAAAAAAAAAACAGTTGGCAGCTCAAGGAAAACTTTCCTGAGGAGAAAGGTTTTCATTTGCTTCTGGGAGGACTGCAGAGATGGGAGAGTGTTCGAGAGTCTGGGAGCAGGAACAGGGAAGGCCTACTTCCTTTAACACTGTTAACGTGGTTAATTAATAAATTAACATGGTTAATTAACATTAACCATGATAATTATTGCAATAAAAAGGAACCAGTGTAGAACATCCTTATTCTTTTTCTATGTCACTTGAGTATGTAAACTTGAGCCCCAATCCAAAGGGCACAATCTTTGGATTGCTTCCAACCACAACCTATTCTAGATGTTATGATTTCCCAGAGATTATTATCAGTGATTTTGGGGACCACTGCTTTCCCCAGGTAGTAGCCCAGTGCCTGGCAGGGTAAGTACCATAGTAAACCTAGTTTAGTTCAGTAGTGAATTGTGCTGCAAAGCAAAGCAAAGCGTGCTGCTTATGAGTTCCATAGTAAACCTAGTACAGTTCAGTAGTGACTTGTGTTGCAAAGTGCACACAGAGCCATGCATTGGATATAAGATGATTTAAGTAAGACCTGCACCAAAATATAGCAATGTATCCTCACCTTGAAGGAGTGTTCCAGGGTTCAAGTCAGCTAGCAAACTGCCCTGTCCTTCAGGATACTTATAGTCTACAAGGATCTTAAGAATGCAAATGCACTCTTCCCCATCCTTTTTTCCATAATCCAGGCACCACATCGACTGCAAAGTGCACACATAGTCATGCATTGGATATAAGATGATTTATAAATAAGTGAGACCCGCACCAAAATATAGCAACGTATCCTCACCTTGAAGGAGTGTTCCAGGATTCAGGTCAGCTAGCAAACAGCCCTGTCCTTCAGGATACTTATAGTCTACAAGGATCTTAAGAATGCAAATGCACTCTTCCCCATCCTTTTTTCCATAATCCAGGCACCACATCAAGGTGATATTAAGCCAATTAGCTCATCTTTTTCCCATGTTTCTTTTCCAGGGAACACAAACAGTGTGCTTCTGGTGGCCAGAAAGCATGTTTGGGATCCACTGGGCCATTTCGGGGTGGATGGGCTCCCTCTTTCAAGTGTTTTGCACTTCAGCTTGGGTTAACCCAAGCATGTTGATTGATTGCTCCTGTTTCTCAGGGACCTCATCCTGGCTCCATTACCATCAGCACTTCTTTTCCAGGGAACACAAACAGTGTGCTTCTGGTGGCCAGAAAGCATGTTTAGGCCATTTTGGGGTGGATGGGGTCTCTCTTTCAAATGTTTTGCACTTCAGCATACATTGGGGGTTAACCAAAGCATGTTGATTGATTGCTCCTGTTCCTCAGGGACCTCATCCTGGCTCCATTACCATCAGCACTTACTGCTTGAGTATTATAGGGAGGGATGGTGCATACGTGAACATACTTAATAAAATGCCTAAAGGGAAATGCAGCATTGAATTGTAGATTTTTCTTACAGCTTTGGAGGCAGAAGATAAAATAAAACTTCTCGGTATTCCAGACCTGCCCTCCTAGGTCTGATCCATCTGAGATTAAAAAATATACCTATTCTGGCTTCTTTCCAGAAAATAAGCAGAGTGGCCAGAATCCTTTTGGGAATCATACTGCGTAAATACGTAGATGCTTCAGTAACTCCCTGGGGCAGTTGTGCAGGGAAGTGATATAATTTCATGCCATTGCCCAAGAGAGTGTGCACACAAATCTGCAGAAGTAGTGTATTGTACAAACACACTTATACCACTTTCTCTCACCAGAAGGAGGGGGAGGGAAAGGAAGGAGGAAGGGGTGGAGGATGGACTTGAAGAGGAGGGGGAGGCTGAGAGGAAGGGGAATGATAGCACCAGGGGAAGGGGGAGGAAAGGAAGGGGAAGGAGCTATGGGGTAGGAAGCCAAGGAAGGAATGAAAGGAAAAAGGACCTGAAAGGCAAGATGCACAGGGTGGAAACAGGAGAGAGAGAGAGACAGAGAGCAGTGGGACGCCCAGGGGGGGAGGGAAGGAAAATCACTGGAAGGAAAATGTGACTTAAAAATAATTTTTTTAAATTCATTATGTTTTATATTTATTTATTATTAGTTATAACAAGGAGGGTGAGGAAGCTGTTGTTTACAGGTGACAGTCGGAGAAGGTCCCTAAATACAGTAGCTCTTCCCACAAGCACGGGTTGTCCTCAATTCAGCCCGTGGGGGAGTGCAGGCTCAACAGCTCTCAGCCTGTTTGGGGTACCTGGTTCACAAAGATCATCTGGACATTACAAGCTGCTCTACCACACGGAACACGAGAGGGACAGAACATTAGTGACCATGAAGACCCAGATCCCCCCTGAGCCAAAGTCTAATATTTCCAGCATGGTTATCTTATCTGCCAGCATCTAGCTATTAAAAAGCAAATCAATAAAATCCTGAATGGTTTTGCTGACAAAATAATGAGCGTCAGTCCCTGATTAATGCTTGCTTTTTTGCAGTCACAAGATTTCTCAAAACACATTCATTTTATGAATGATAAAGTGCTACAGCTCTTGAGCAAACACATTTAATTAGGTGAATTGAGAGCAGGCATTACCCAGATAAGGTTAAGTACTGTTAGGTCCCATTGATTTCAGTAGGAGAGTTTTAAGCACATTCTTAACTACATTAAATCAAACTTGCGAATATTTCAATTGCTCAACTCCTTGCCTAGATTGCAGCCACTATGGTGTGATCTGGATTTCATTTGTTCCAGTCTAAATAGAGAGGAACCTTTATTAATCTATGGCATCATCGTTATTGTCATCATTAATATTATTGCTATTCATTTGCATAGCACGTAGCACTTACCAAGCACAGTATACAGATTCGGAACAAGTCTGCCCACAAGTTTAAAATGAATACAGAAGGCACACAAGGAAAAAGGTTGATGAGAGAAGGGAGGGAAAAGCAAAGCAAAACAACAGTTAATTACGGACTTTTTCTTATAATGAATAACTGAAATAAATATAGTTTTGGGACAGGAGAAATCTAAACAGCAACTTTTTTTTTTTCAGACAAGCCGATGGAGTAGATTGTACAGGGTCATAGCCAAGTGGAATAGCTGGCAGTACTTCCATTGTTAGATTATTTATTTAAAGGATTTCTGCATCTTTCCCTGGCCACCAGTATACAAAATTGTGTACAGCTTTAAATTTTAAAACAACAGCCCTGTAGAGCTGCTTTACCATGTCAAATATGGACTGTTACGTGAGGTAACCTTTTTTTTTCAGATGGAGGGTCATTCAGAAGCTGCATAGGAGTGTGGAGCCAGTGGTGGGCACAGACAAGTTAGCCAATATGCACCTTGTCCATCACAAGTC